CCCCCCCCCCCCCCCCGCTAGAGACACTGCACCGCAAGGCGGGGCCGGTTACGGTCCGTGAAGACTGGTAAGGCGGCCTCTAGAGGTTTAGGGTTTAGGGTTTTTTTGGGAGAGGGAAAGGGGCGGGGGGCTTTGTTTTTTTTTTTTTCTGCGGTATTTGACAAGACTTTTTGAAGTTCTTTCGTCGTTCTAACATCTCTTTGGCTTTTTGTCGGAGTGCAGCGGTGTGCTGCTGGCAGAGGGGTTTCCATGTTTAAGGATTCGTTTAAAGAAATCACCACGAGGAACCCTCAAAAGGTAGGCTTTGTAGGATCCAGGTAAAGAAAGGTTTGTCGGTTGGCGCATGGATTTGGAGGGTGAAGGCTGCTTCACGGGTGCTTTGTCGTTTTGGGTTTAAGGTTTAGGGTGCCTGCAAGCGGTTCCTCCGGCTTTTGAATATTCGGGGCCTGGAAATAAGTGTCCTCTTACAGTCCCAATAAAAGTACGAAATCATACCTGAAAAATCCCGAAGGCCCTCATAGGCCCTGTGATAAACCCTATAAGCCCCTACAGAGCCTGAAATAGAAACTGTGAAGACACCCAGTCTTGATTTTTTCACGCCACGATAGAGTGGAAGGTATGTATGAGGAAGTCGTTGACGGATGCGAGGCCCCGAACAGCAAAGCCTGAAAGCTGCCTCAGTTTGGGTTTAGGACTTTAGGAGTGTCAGCAGCATGAGCTATTTCTGCACCGGGATGTCGCTCGCATACAGTCTTGTTGAGCGTATGCACGCTGAAACGAATCGCACCTAAACCCCTAGCCCTCAAGCAACGTATGTCGTTACTACCTGGAAAGTACGCAGGCGTACAATCCGAAGTTTCATCAGCCGAGCTGCCCTTGCGCTGCAGTGGTTTGCGCAATTTCTTTGCTACTTTTAGTTTTCCTCGAGGGGATTCTAGAAAGTCTTTCCGTTTTTCGCGCCGGGGCAGGGGCTGTTGGAGTGTAGGACTCGGAGTTTGGGTCAGAGGCATCCGGGTTCATTTTTTGATGACTGGGGAAGGTGAGAGCAACACTTGTTAATATAACTCATACACGGGGATACCTACCCGACCAAAGCCTACTTTATTGGTAGGGTCTCTAGGGTTTCATAGTTAGAGCCTCCAAAACAACAGGTTATGGTAGGTTACTGTATGTAGCAACATGATCATATATATACATATATATATATATATATGCAAATATGGAATATAAACCTGAGGATGTTGGAGCCCCAGAGGAGAGAAGTTATTATAGATCTTCAAGAGTAGGGTCCTTGTCAGTTCCGGTGCCCTTAGAATTGGAAGAAACCAGTGCTAACTTGCTCTGTGGAGTTTAGGGTTCAGGGAATCGGGCCTTTAGGGCTCTCGGGTTCACCCTGGGACCCTAGGCTACCAGGGTGTGGAGCCTAAACCCCAAAAACCGCAATCCTGAGGTCCAAGCCCCTAAACCGCCATCTCGAGGTCCAAGCCCCTAAGCCCCAGTCCCGAAGACCCTAAACCCTAAGCCCTAGTCCCGGAAGACCTCAAACCCTGAACCCTAAGCCCTTCTTCCATTTAACAGGGCTGGGTTTTTTTTCCGCCCCGG